CTGCTGTTGCGGGGAGGCTGGTAAACTCGTGCAAACAGCAGCGGGCCGGGTAGGTGGTGGGTACGTGCCCGCTTCTTGTCGGCAGTTCCCTGTGAAACAGTTACATGTCCAGGATGAAACCGCCTTGCTCGTCTTTTCACTCGTTGGATTTGCTTGTTTATGTAAGTGGGCTGTCTGTGCTGCCCGTGCTCTCAGAGGAGGTCCCTATGTCGGTGCAGTTGATATTTTTTGCTCCTTCTTGGCTAAGACACATTTGCGTTGGTGACAATTGTGATTTTACTGAGTGAGTGATTTTGCCAGGAGGGCTAGGTGTTGACAGCCAGGGTCAGCTATCCCTCATTGGCCTGAACGCCAGGTCTCTGCTCTGAGCAGCTGGGGCGTTGCTCAGATCCTCAATGCCATTTTCTTCTTCACTCTCACCAAAGAGTGAAAACTGGACTGCAACTCAGGGCTGCGACAGAAGATCAGCATGACAGGGAAGATTTGCTTATACTGTAGGAGGAAAGGACATGGGGGGCATGCATATGGACATTTTAGCTTCTCAAAAAATTGGTAGGGCCTATTCCAATGCTGCTGCTTCTTTCCTCCTCTCAGCTTTCCCTTCATGTATTTTCTAGCCAATTTTTCTTTTGTCCAGCCCTTTCCTTAGGCTCACAAACAATACTTTGTAAGTTCTCATCCCACCCCAGTAAAAGTTAGTCCCATTGTACTTGGATAGCAGGCTAGCTGTTCTGGCTACTCGCTTAGTTCTAATGGTCATATTTTATTTAGAGAGCAGATGGAAGTTCCCGTTAGACCATATATATCCATCTGCTAAGCTGAAAAGCTGAGTGTCATTGCATCTGGGACTCCTCAACGTTTCTGTAGAAAGGGGGATAAGGGCAATGTTTTTGTGGTCCTGGGCCTATCGGTGCAGGGGCTTATGGCTTCCCTTGTATTTGTGAATCAGTAATACTTCTGGTCTGTCTCTGCATATAGAGGTGGATGCTCTTACAAAGGAGATGGAGGACTTTGAATTAAAGAAAGCTGCTGCCCGTGCTGTGACAGGAGTGCTGGCCTCCCATCCCAACAGCACTGATGTGCACATCATTAACCTCTCGCTGACCTTCCACGGCCAGGAGCTGCTGAGTGACACAAAACTCGAGCTGAACTCTGGAAGGCGCTACGGCCTGATTGGACTCAATGGGATTGGTAAGCTGTGGGGCACAGTGACGTGGGCTTCTTGGAGCTCGGTGAAGATTCCATGCTGCTGAGAAGCTGGACAGATGCAGGTGGTAAATGCTGGAAACCAGAAAGAAGGCTGTTAGACAGACATGGCTGGGACACAGCAGTTTCCATTCTCCCATCTCCCCGCCCAGGAAGAGGAATTGCTAGGATTGCTGGTAGAAGTATGAGGTTGCATTCTGGCTTTGGACTGTGCATTTGAACTTGTTTCTGTGGAGAGCTGGGTGAGATGTCTGGAATCTGTGAATCTGTCTGATTCCTGTTTGCAGGATTTGTTTAGCAGTGTCAATAAACCCAATGCTCACGCTATTGGTCAAACAACTTGCACAGTATAGAGGAGTAGGAAGTGTGTGGTTTGGCCTGAATGGGAAAACAACTGTACAGTCCCCGAGAAGGCGACACTCTACATGGAGAGATGCAGAATAAGAGTGTAACTGAAGAAGAGCTAGTGAGAGTGACCAGCTAGTTTACCTTTCAGGAAAACAGTTAGTGACGAGTGCATTACTTCCCTCTATGTTAGAAGTCTTTAGAGTCTGGGGTCCTGGTAACAGATGTCAGACCTGGTTAGTCAGCAGGAAGTATACAGCAGAGATAAAGTTCCCTAAACCTGGGCAAGGGATGAACTGCAGTGGTTTCCAAAGAGCTTCTTCATGTGTCAATCCTGTCCTTGGGGTGGTGAGCCTTAGCTGGGAGGGCAGCGAGTCGCAGTGAGGCAGTAGGCTCTGCTGTGTCTCTAATTCTTCTGGCCTCTTGGGCAAGAAATTCCCAAGGGTTTTCTGGCGTTGGAAAGGGAGGGAATCAGTGGGATCTGACTGCATCTCATCCATTTCTCTGTGACGTGGTATCTTGCTGAATCCAGCAATTAATTATGGAGTGTCTGTCTGCACACAGGGAAATCCATGCTTTTGTCAGCTATTGGGAAACGAGAAGTGCCCATCCCAGAGCATATTGACATCTATCACCTGACCCGAGAGATGCCTCCCAGTGACAAGACTCCTCTACACTGTGTGATGGAGGTGGATACAGAGAGGGCCATGTTAGAACGAGAGGCGGAACGTCTGGCTCATGAAGATGGTAAAGCTTCTCAGAGTCCCTGTGGACAAGGGACGTTTCCTCCTTTTCCCTCCCCACTGAAGAAAAGGTTTTATCTGGGTTCATTGGCAGAGTTTTTACATGTTATGGTACCTATTTCCCCCAGCCGCCCTCTACTAGTTGAAAAGTCCTGTGAGATTACACTTCTTTGGATGAAATTATTCCATGCAGCTTCTTAAGAAGCATTTCAGGTTTGGGTATGGAGGGGGCTGAATAGTGGTAAAGCAGATGGACTGTGAGCTTTCCCAACTGTATAGAGGTGCAGCTGAGAGCCCTTTATTGGTAGAATTGCTGACAGGCAGGCTCTCTTTCAGCGGAGTGTGAAAAACTCTTGGAGTTATATGAACGTCTGGAGGAGCTGGATGCTGACAAGGCAGAAGCACGGGCCTCACGTATCCTTCATGGCTTGGGGTTCACGCCAGCCATGCAGAGGAAGAAGCTGAAGGACTTTAGTGGTGGCTGGCGAATGAGGGTGGCTCTTGCTAGGTGAGTGGTCTACTGCCTGCTGCCTCCTGGGAGAATGCCTGCCTGCTCCTGACTCTGCAGAGCCACATACACAGTTCTAAGAACTCAGAGCAGAGCTGAGAGGCTTTGGGTTACTTGCATTTACCCTATGCTGTCATTTCCCCTCTCCTTTCAGAGCTCTCTTCATTCGGCCTTTCATGCTGCTGCTAGATGAGCCCACAAACCACCTTGACCTGGATGCCTGTGTGTGGTTGGAGGAAGAGCTGAAAACGTAAGCATGAAGGAGTTTGCTGCTTCTATGGGTTGTGCTTTTCTGCTGGAACACCTTGTCAGCATGTGAACAAGTGCTACAGGAATAACTGTGTATAGTTCTTGTGGCTACATAACTATATTGCACTACCAGTGACACCTTCTTGTGCTTACTGCCACAAATGTCTGTGGAAGGGTTCTTGGTGCAAGGGTAATGAATTCAAGACAAGCCCCCATCTCTCCCTCACTGAAGAAATGAGAAATGCTGGTTTGTGCTCCCTGGTTAAAGCTACTTCTTTGACAGCCAGGAGCAGCCCTGGGAGCCTGTGTACAAGCACCATGTGCTGTACCAGTAGTGTGAGCTTTCCAGACCTGGCTTCCAGCTCACCTTTCTGCATATTGTTCCTCTGTTTTCACAGAACTGTAGCATCTGAGTGTGTCAGTTTCATCTTGTTCTAGTATGTTGGGTGACTTTTTCATAAACAAAGGTAAAATGTTAAGGCTTAAGGTAAAAAGCTTAGGAATAATTATGAATCACAGACTGGTCAGGGTTGGAAGGGA